TATTACTTTGTAAAAAAAATGGAATACCTCACATCAAATATGAAAATAAATCCCAGATAGTGAGCTTAATGTAAAAAAGATACAATCACAAAATGACCAAAATAAAAAGGATAAGCATATATTTATCTTGCCTTTATAATTATAAAGACAAAATCTGAAACCATTAAGTAAATGTTGCTATATTTATCTACATATGAATTTTTGCTTATGTAAAGCACCATAACTAAAGTTCAAAGGCTAAGACCAAATGAGAAAATACTTGAACCAGGTGTATGATAAAAATATATGTGGTAATTAAAATCATATTTCATACAGGCATACAATATAAGAATAATGACAAGGAAAATGCTCACAATTTGTATTTATATTTAAAATCAAAATCTTTGGTTTTTACCTTTTCACCTGCAAAATTAAGTTCAGTGTAGATTTGCTAAATATTGTCGATGATAACTAAATTAAATATATTCAATAATAACAAAGTTAAACAGAAAATAACATTTTTATTCTGTCCAGTAAGATTTGTCATAATTTATCTCGTTTTTTTAAAAAATTTGAATGAAAATTGTGCCAGTGTGTGAACAGTTGTTTCTTAGGAGTTCAATTTGTTGTTCTGTGAGTAGGTTATTTTAATTTATATGCTTCAATTTTTAGTAATTGTGGGAGAATTCTTAAGACCATATAAATGATACTGGTACCATATGTGTTATGCATTTCTTATACTAATTATATCTGGGATATTCAGTTTTTATCTTATACTAATTGTTTTTATCTTGTGATATTCAATCAGTAAGTAAGCAGCTTTATAGGGGTTATTACACATTTTCCCAAAACTGTATTAGGTATTTTCTCAGGGTGTTTAAAATTAAGTACTAAGGTAGTATTGGGTGAAGAAGTGGATACCAAAGAAATAACCAGTACAATCTGTGTGAAGTATATGTTGAGTTTAAAGAAACTTCAGTAGAGTAGAATAATTTATGAAGAAGGTTTCATAAAGTGAGTGAGTTGAGTGGAACCATGAGGCTTGGACATGATTGTTGACTATAAGGAGAAAACAGTGCATTTCGCAGAGGAGCCAGTATGGGCAAAGACATGAATGGATGTAAGCCCTATGTGTACGGTTGACACAGGTGACTGTCCTCACTGTGCTCCTGGGTGCTTATTAGAGTACTGAGAGAACTAGGATTGGACAAGTGGATTAAAGTTTTAAGAGTTTTAAAAACCAAGAAAAGTTGTCCAGACTGAAATATTGACAGCTATTATAGATTTTTTTAAAATGGACTGTTGGCATAAGCATCTTAGTCTGGTATTTGTACATAGAATAGGTTAAGTATGATGGCAAGAGTGATGACACTGGTAGAGTAGTCAGGCATAAATGACAGAGGTCTACTTAAAAGTGCTAGCATTGCAACTAACTGGCAGAGGGCATAAATCTTAGGTATTCTGAAAGAAGTAATACTAGGACTCTAAACAGTAAGATAGAAGAAACTAAGCATAGGGAAAAAGATAGGTGTATGGATTATCTGAAAGAACATTTGACTCAGACTACTACAGTGTATATGTTTGTTACATTAAAGATTTAGGTAGCATATTGTGGTCTGAAAAAAAGATCAGAGGTCTGTAACCTAAATGTCTGTTCTGATAGAATGCCTCATCCCCTAAAATGCCAGAAGACAGACTGTTTCCTAAATCACAGTTTGTTTCCATTTGAATATTTTGAGCACCTATCAACAAATGACAGAGACTTACAAAATAGGAGAGGAAATATCCAAAGAGACTATAAGTTTCTTGAGGGCAGAATCTTGTTAACACTCATTTTTGTAACCCCTAGCACAGTGCATAATAATATTTTGTAAGTGTTCATTTTTGGTGGAAAAATGAATTTAAGCAAGCTTTAACATTTGTTTTTTTGGATAGCTTGTTCTATTCATTGAATAAATAAGCAATACCTAAAGAACCAGGTGTTAACTGTAATTTTATAAAGGCCTGTGTGTTTTTCTTCTGGTTGTGGGAAGGTACCTTTACTTTTATTGTTCTTTAAAAAATAATGATCTCTTCATTACCTTATACCTGTTTTGTTATATTTTTAGGTATTGTATGAGAGGAAATTTCCAGTTCCAAAGCCAATTGATTACAATCGCCATGCAGTGGTCATGGAAATCATAAATGGTTATCCTCTGTAAGTACTCAGTATTCTTACAGTCATGGATCCCATTAAATGAATTTAAGGTTTAGGTATTTTTAATAAAAATTTCTTAAATTAATGAAATATTGCTTCTGGGAGATTAGAAACTGACTTAAAGGAATGGACTCAAAGACAAATTAAAAACTCAATTTCATTCTGACAGTGTGGATTTTGTGATCTCTGTCATTCATTCATTCATTTAATATTTGTTGAGAGTCTATTAAGTGCCAGGCACTTCTGGCTCAGCAGTGAACAAAACAAGGTCCCTGCCCTCCTGGAACTTATACATTATGATGGAAGGAGACATGCAAAAAATAACTAAACAAGGAAATATGTATTAGGTAGTAGTGAATGCCATGGATAAAAATAAAGCAGGGTAAGGGTGCTAGTGCTGGGTGGGGTTAGGAGACTGCTATTTTGCATAGGATAGTCAAGAACATGCTCATTAATAAGGTGAAACCTTATCACATTTTGATTGAGATGGAAAGCCATTGGGGTGGGAGCGTTTTAAGCAGAGAAGAGGTGTGATCTAATGTTTTAATAGTTTAAATGTTTTAATAGTATCACTCTGGCTGCTATGTTACGAATAGACTCAAGGGAGACAAAGAATTAGTAAGACAAGTTAGGAGACATTGTGATCTAGGCAACCCTGACAGGAGCTCTGATCACAGTTGATAGTCGTGAAGGTGATGAAAAGTGGTCAGATTCCGAATGTGTTTTGCCAGTTGAACCAGTATGATTTGTTTGGGATTGGATATGGATATGAAGGCTGGAGGGGCAAGTCAAATGATACCACCAAGGTTTTGGCCTGAGTAAGAAATTAATTGGAGGAATAAAGTTGCCATTTACAGAAACGGGAAACCTGTAGGAAGAACAGTTTGGAGTTGGAGGGTGGGACAGAACCAGAGATTCAGTTTGGGACATGGTTAAGTTTGAGGTGCCTGGGAGTTTGAGAAGTCTAGATTGAAATGATTTTGTATTTGGTATGTAAAGCCATGTACCTAGATGAGATCACCAAGAGTGAATGTAAATAAGGGAAAATAGGACATCATAGGAGCTTTTGAGGAACTCCAAAATTTACAGTTCACAGAAAAGACTAAGAAGGTATGATCTGTGAGGAAGGAGAAAGACCTGAAAAGCGTGTTGTCCCAGGAGTTAAGTGAGAAAATGTTTCAAGGAGGTCAGAGAGGTCAACTGACAGATCAGATATGAAGAGAACCAATTAACCTTTGGATTTAGCAGCATGGAAGACATTTGTAGTCTCAACAAGAGCTATTTCATAGGAATGAGGTGGATGGAAGCCTGCTTGAAGTAGGTTTATTGGAGAGCGGGAGGAAAGAAATTGGAAGAAACACATGTAGAAGAGTTTGGCTGTAAAGAAGATCAAAGGATATAGTAGTAGAAAGAAGACACAGAATTGGAGCAGGACATGGCTCTTTATTTATTTTTTTTTTAATAAATGGGAGATGTTATGTCTATATGTGATGGGAATGAGGAGAAAACTGTTGGGGAGACAAGGCTTGGAAATAATATGTATACACACACATACATACTTCCATTAAAACCATAAACGAGTACAAATAACCTGTTTTCATACTTAAAATGCTTTCAGATGTCAGATACATCATGTTGAAGATCCTGCATCAGTATATGATGAAGCTATGGAACTAATTGTCAGACTTGCAAATCATGGGCTGATTCATGGAGATTTCAATGAATTCAATCTCATTTTGGATAAAGATGATCATATCACCATGATTGATTTTCCACAAATGGTTTCAACTTCTCATCCCAATGCTGAATGGTATGTGCTGAAATTGCTTCTGGATGTGGGTTTGTTTGTGCATGATGGAATCATTTTTTATTCATAATTTTTCAGTTTTTTAATACTATCATTTAGGTCAGTAACTAGTTTGAAGTGACTGGTGTTAATGTTATAAAGATGTGTTTTTTTTATTAAAGGATATCCAACTACTAGAATTTTTCCCATAGAAGAATCTTTCTTATTCCTCAGTTTTATAAAGGGGAAAACTGTACTTTGATCCAATTTTAAAACCTATTCATTAAATTTATGCTGTATATTGGAAATCTAAAGAAATTGCCTGCTTATCTATTTTGTTTATGTAAACCACAATGAAGATGGTATCAAAAGAATTTGAATTACCCTATTGTAATTTGACAGACTTTGAAAACTCAAACTTTCTCAGCCATGAAACTCTTTGTTCATACATACTTTTAGGTAGAAGCTCAATTTTTAAAACATAAAAGCCAGTTCAGAAGAAGTAGGGACATGAAGAAAGGAACCCTAGAACCACCACATTCTTTTGCCTTTCCCCTTTTCTCTCTGTGGTTACCTCTGAGAGCACTTTACCAAGTGTAACTCAGTAATTTTGATGGCCTGAGTAAAAGATGTAGTGTTGGACTGAAACTGAGTTGTAAGACCAGTGATAATTATCTCTTGTCATTTTTTAGCTTTCATTTTATTATTAGAAAAGAATTCATATAGAACTTCATCTTTGACACAGGGAAGAATCACTTTATATTCTGTGACAATCATATTTTTTATTTGTATTCTGTGGTACAATTGAGTACAATCAAATTAAGGGTAAGGATCTTTTTCTTTCTGTTCTAAGTTTTGTGAGAAACTTCTTTTTCTTAAAGTAACAACTTGTATCACTTATATAATAGAGCATATTCATTCTTGTAGAGTTGGAGCTTGAAGCACTTTATGTTAAGTGAAACTTGTCTTCCTCTTGGTTCCCATTAGAAAATGTCTACCTTTATGCTAGAGAAAGAAATGTCATTTAAAAATAAATTTTAAAAATATTTCCAACAAAATAATACTAAAAAATTAATTCCTAGCTCTTGGGTGGTCAATACCCTTTGGGTGATGACTAATCACCCTTTTTATTAATATGGAGTAATGTAGTCACACAATAAAGGAACATCTGGGAACCACCAGAGTTAGGGAAGAGACTGATGACAGAATATGACATTACAAGCTTAGGCCGCATTGTTCCATGGGGAAACAATGTGATTTAATTTGAATTTTTATGAAGTAGTACTGGGGAAAAAGAAGTTGTGCTAAGCATTAGTGATTGAGATATAAATAAGCCCTGTCTCTGGTTTTAAAGAAGTTTATCATATACTGGGGGGGATGTGAATATACATAAAATTATTTTAAAATTTATTAAGATTTTCTCCAGAGTACCCTGAGAGCAAGGAAGAGTGGCATTGTCTGCCTATTTACAAACTTGATCTTTTGTCAAGGAAATAGTCAATTCCATGTCATCTTATTCTTAATTCTCCTTTATCTGGAAATCTTTTAGAGAATTGAATCTGTTCTTGTACTTCATGGTGACCAAAAAAGGCAACCTGATATTCAGAAGTCCTTCTACTTTTGTTCTATATTAACATGTTTTCAGATCATTATTTATAAGCCACAGCATTATTTATCCCTTTGGGTGTAATTGCTTATTAGCTAATGGATAATAAAGGTACATAAACGTAATAGTAGTCTTCAAACTTCTCCTTATGAGTTATTCATATCTTTTTGTCATTAACCTCATATTTTTCTTCAGCTTTCCCAGTTGGCCAGTGGTTCTAGTGAATGTTGCTAACGGGAAGCATAGCCAGTCTGGGGACTAAAGAGGATAAGTGGAAACCTGAACCCAATCTGTAGGTTCATAATCTCCTTTCCTGGGGTTCATTCATTTTCTCCTAGTGTATTTTACTTATACCAAATAAGAGTATGAGAAAACCTTGACTTTTCTCATCAAAGGAACTATATGGCATTGATGGCTTATATTTATTAAGGTTTTCTCAGATTTTAGTTTTTTAAACACACTGGCAACTGATTTCTATCTTTCTTCTTTTGTGTAACATCTTTTTTTCCTTCATGTAAGGAGCAGTAGTACCATAAAAAATAATGAATATATTGTTATTGGCTAATAAGGAAAAAGATGAGCAACAAAGGCTGTATCAAAAATGATTCTTGCTTTTGCAGGTATTTCAACAGAGATGTTAAGTGCATTAGAGATTTCTTCATGAAACGTTTCGGCTATGAAAGTGAGCTTTATCCAACCTTTAGTGATATCAGGTTTGTAGTTGGCATTACTTTAAAATGATAGGACCCTTTAATATCTGATTTATTTAGTACTAAAAATTAACTTTCATCTAAAAAAAATTTTCCGAACGGTGACCTTTGACATATAATCAGTGTTGAGTATGACTGCTTTGTAGGATATAAATGAAACTTAAAAACTTGAAAATTCCTGCTTTTGGCCCATCAAGGCACTACAGTTGAATTTGGGGAAGGAGCATACCTAGTTTTTCAAAATTCAAGAACTTTTATTCTGTTTTGAATGGTTTATGAATAACCCAGTCATAAAGAATCAAACCAAGTATTTATTCAAATGTGTGTTTTTCCCTTATTCAGAACAGGAGCTATCTTTAGTTGATTATTGGGACATAATTATTTTGTACATTCTCAAAGCTAAATTTTCTCTCATTTATTTTCTTTTTTTTTTTTTTTCGAGACAGAGTCTCACCATGTTGCCCGGGCTAGAGTGCCGTGGCATCATCCTAGCTCACAGCAACCTCAAACTCCTGGGCTCAAGTGATCCTTCTGCCTCAGCCTCCCAAGTAGCT